TTTGAATACCACATAAAATCAGAGCACTCCAGCTGAAGTCAAGGTGGCTGGTGACAGTTTTCATCACTTTCCAGCAGATACAGTGCCTACAGGGTATAACTCAAGAATGAGCTCTCTGACCCTATTTTTCTTGTCAAATTGTAATAAGCATGTTAAGAAACAACTTTTTGCAAGTTTCAAAAAGTTCTGTTGATAGTGTTCAGAGACATCTTAACCCCCTGNCACAGTACATGTAACAACAATAATTATTAAATACAATATTCATTCATTACACATTGCAGGATAACATGCCCACAGAACAGTGCGCTTTAATGGGGAATGTCACAGACTCTCCATGGACAGGCTAGCATAAAGTACATGGTGGTCATCCCAGTTGCCTTCTTATGGGGGACAAGGAAGAATCAATATAGAAGCATATGCACTTACTTGGTCAACATCACAATATGAAATCAACTAAACTATTTCTTTCTTTTGAATACCACATAAAATCAGGGTACTCCAGCTGAAGTCAAGGTGGCTGGTAACAGTTTTCATCGCTATCCAGCAGATACAGTGCCTACAAGGTATAACTCAAGAATGAGCTCTGTGACCCTATTTTTGTTGTCAAATTGTAATAAGCACGTTAAGAAACAACTTTTTGCAAGTTTCAAAAAGTTCTGTTGATAGTGTTGAGAGACATCTTAACCCCCTGAGCCATTTTTGACAGAATTTTTCTATACTTTGTGACATGTTGTATTTTGTCATGCCAATTACAATTCCACAGTACAAATGGAGGTCACTGAGCGAGCTTGGTTTGAGTTTAATACACTGTCAGTATAAGTTCTTAAAGCTAAAGGGTAGGATGTTTTAGGAGGTTATGTTGTTGCAATGATAACCTGTTACATAAAAAGGATGATCACTGCAGCTTCTTTACAAGGCATCATGTGATGCCATTATTGTAGCTACATGTAGCATAATCTGACAAAGGGTGGTCCAACACCGTATATTGATTCATCAAAGTGTGAGCCATGTAAATAGCTGGAAACTCTTATCAGCAACCTTAAAAAACCAATACACCAATTTGGAGAATTTCCTTTTCAAAATAGACCATGGCTCTGTTTTACTCTTCCTGCTCATAGCTTAAGTGCACAGCAAAGTAGAGCTATGAACTAGTGTAGATAAACACTACCATTAAAGAACAAAATTGTATCTGTAATGGCCACTTCTTATTCACTGTAATGTACTTATGTGTAGCAAAATTTCAAGCAGGCTTCAAATTAAACTTGAATAGCTTGCATGAATCGTTAATCGTGAATTCCAAGTAGCTCATTCACACACACGAATATTAAATTTGTGAATGGTTCTCAGAATGTTTGTACTGTCCTATCAGTACAAAAAATAGATAACTTTCAAGCCGACAACATTCTGTCATTTTTATACATAGTTTAAATTATCTT